GGGCTAGATATTTGGTTTTGTTGCTTTTTGGTCTTAATTGGTATGCCAAAGGGCCCACACTTTTTGACTTTGTCTCCAGCCCAATTCCATTTTCCCTCTCCTCTCTCTATGTACCCGGTTCTCTCTCTCACTCTCTCTCAAAATATCTCAGCTCTCTTGCTTCTCTCTCATTTCCTTTCACTCCCTCCCTACCCATGAGCAACACCCACCCACACACGCTTAGATCGTGTTTAGGAGTGAGTTTGTGATGTTTCTAAGTAGTGTTTGTGGTTTATGGATGAAAAGCCCTCGAGGAAGACACTCCCCAGTTTTCCGATGAGGAACCCGAAGCTTGTAGGCCATTTTTAGGCCAAATCATGGGGAGTTAGCTGTTGAGAAAAGTACCATTCTCTTCATCTCGTCAAGAAGTATGATTTTTTTTTTCGAATCACTTAATTTCGTCGAGTATTGAAGAAGTTATGAACGTTTAAAGTTTTCCCAGTTTTTCGGCAAGCACCGTCACTTTTGAGGCGTTTTCCGACCAAACCACGGTGAGTTAGCCATCGTGCAAGGTATTATCTTCATTTTGTTGAGTACTACAACTTTGGTTTTGAATCACTTGATTTGGTTGAGTATCGAAGAAGTTATGAGCCTTTGAAGCCCTACCTAGAAACCGGCCAACCCTTGGCCTGAAACTAGGTCGACCAGACCTAATAACCCTAAAACCTGACCCGTGACCTAAGGGTCCGACCCATAAGCCCAGGCCCAAACCCATAAACCAATTACCTAAGCCCAAACCCAAGTCCAGAAACCAAGCCCAACCCAGAAACCAAACCCGGGCCATAAACCTAGGACAGGATCTGACCCTTTGACTGTTGACCCAACTCGTTGATCGATGACCCAACCCATTGACTGTTGACCGTTGACTTCTCAGGTTTCGACTGGGACCCCTCCTAGACTAATTTCAACGTCTCGAGTCTGTTTACGACGTCCATTTTCCCAAATTCAATGGTTATAGTATAGTTTTATTAATTGGTCCATTTATGTGCTTAGGTGCATTTGTTAGTGGCGTTTCCATCCACCCTTGCTTGCACGGCTCTACGCCAAAAGTGTAAGGTGAGTGAACCCCTTTTAAAATGCATACATGAAAAGCATGATTTTATGGCTACGTTTTTTAGTAAATTGGTTTCACTCTTTTATGAATTATTATGCTTTATCAATTCTACGTTCTTTGTGGTATATATGATGGATGAATATATACTCACTTATGAACGTGGTTTTACGATATTACGTTTCAGTTATTGAGTTTCGATCTGAGATTGATATATATATATATATATATATATATATATATTAGAAATGGTATGTTAATGTTTTTATGTGCTTATACAATGGTCCTGCCTACGGGCAAATGATATCTATATGTGGTTCGGTTGGGTGATGTAAGGGTCTACGGGTCAAATGATATCTACACGTGGCTTCGGTCGAGTGATGTAGGGGCTTGCAGGTCGAATGAAGGCATATGGGCGAATGAAGAGTTCTATATGCCTACAGGCGAATAAAGGCCTTCGGGCAATTTTGATACCACTACTAAGCACACTATATATGATATATGTTTTACGAAGGTTTTATGGCATGCTAGGGTTTTCGGAAAACCTATTACTTATTATGCTATATGAGTTTTCATAAACCTTGGGGGTTAGTACGTTGTTGAATAACTATGTTAGTACTACTTATATATCAACTTAGTCCACTCATGTTTTGTTTTGCGCCCCCTTCAGGACTTAGAATCGAGGCATACAATCTCGGTGTCAAGACACTCTTGCATCGGTTTCTTCGAGTCTTTTCGGTGTATGGCCTATTCATTTGTTCATTCAATTTTATATTATTTATTTTTAGTGTCTTGGATTAGTTGTATGCTCTGAACACGTTCCTCAAGTGCATAATCATTGTATTTAAATTTATAAGTTTTAATTAGGATCGTTACTTCTCATGCATGTTAGTATGGATTCATCACCTTCAGGTGTCGGCCAACACGTACCTACCTTGGTGTTTGGAGGATATCAGGGTCAAGCGTGTCACCAGAGGTCCGAAAAATTCCATTGAAGGTCCTCTAAGAATCTTTTGAACGCATGGTACGGGACTCTTTTGTGTCCACAAGTATTCTATAAAATACTTGTATCGCATATCTTAGCAACACTCGAGATCCCTTAAATTAGGACCCCCGGATAGTACTGGATCCAACAACAATTGGTGGTGTTCAAAGAAAATGAAAATGAGTGCCCAACAACGAACTATTTCCTTTCCTTTTTCAAAGAAAAAACCAACTATTTCTAAAAGAGAAGTTTATTTGTCTCCTTCCTTTGAAAATAGTCATTGTTCATTGCTATTTACCAGTCAATCACAATTTAACATCTCTGTCATTTAATATTACGATGTAGTGACGCTTTTTTTACTAGTAAATGAAAGATCTTAATTTTTTATCTCGTAAATAACAAGTTCGATGCAAATTATCTCGAAATAAAAGAAATATGTGTCTAAATCAAGAATAAAGAATGATTTCTTTTATATGCCGAGCTTTTTTTTTTCTTTTGTCCAAAAACAAGAAATTTCATTGATGAGAAAAGCCGAATACAATTACATTAAACTAGCCCAGTAAGGTGGGGATAACTGAAGCCCATTCAACAAAAAGGCAAAAAAAAGAAAAAAAAAATCCTAATCTTCAACCACAAAGGCTGACCGTTGTCGCCTCCTTCACCTCGCCAGTGACCACAAGGGTTGCCACCCAAAAAAAAAAAAAACATAATTCCGCGTTGTATTCAATGAAGGTATTCTGGTGCAAAACAATTCAACGTGCAGCAAAAACCACCACACCAAAGAATAGCCAACAAATCCGGGCCACAAACACAAGTCCCTACAAGTAGAACAAAAAGCCGAAAACACGAGGTAAAGGTGCATTTAAACACTGTCACTTTATGCATCACGCTTGGGCCCTATTTTTTCCTTTACGCAATTTCTCCCCACTTCGGACCACAGCCAGCCAGAGACCAACTCCACCGCATTTTCTTCGCCTCTAGTCGTCGTCTAGTCTATAGATAGATGCCCCACAAGTCACCTAAAACATAAATTCATGATTACATCAATAAATAGTTGGATACTATTATTTTTGTCATGAAACAAATGATTAATATTATTTTATAATCCTTAGTGCTTAGTACATCAATTAATTTGTCAAAATGTTGTTCGACCTTAACAATCATTTCATCTGTCAATTAATTAAACTAACATCTTTTCAGGTTTATCTTGTTTTTACAAAACCCCTTCACGTTTGAATCATAACACTAACATCCCTTGAGGTTCTAACTGGCTTTCACATAACCCTTTTAGGGTTGACATCACCTTAAAACATTTTCTTAAAGACAAATTTGCCCTGATTTTTAGTTACTTTAAAAATAAAAACAACTTTTTTAAAAATCAATATTGGGGTTAGGGCCTCCCCTCCGCATTCACCACAATATAATAAAAATTCTTAACATGTTCCACCTCCTCCCTAGCCGTCCTCCCATGAATCTACTCATTCGTCTTGGTTTTTCGATCAATCAACCTCTCCACAAGTTTGGCCTCACTCTCCGCCATAAAAAATATGAAAACCACCGAATTCCCAAGAATCTTCCTCACAAAATGCAATTTGTCGTTGGAAACCTTGAATTTTTTTTATGTTGAATTCTAGAGAAGATCCAAGTCCATGGTAGAAAAAGAAAGATAACTATATTTCATTAATTTTCTTTTTATTTATTTTTTAATTATAATGAGAGAAAATTTGACCAGAAGGAGTTATGTGAAAGTGAACTAAAACCTTAAGGGGTATTAGTGTTATGTTTCAAACGTGAGGGGTTTTGTGAAACTTAATAAACCTGAAGGGGTGTTAGTGTAATTAATTTTTTTTTCTTTTAACAAACAATATTATCTATCATAAAAAGAAGGAGGGACATGGGTCAAACCTCACAATGAGTTACCAATAATATGATTCAATTTACCTTAGGTGATAATCGAATCTAAGACCTCTCACTTACAAGTTAAGAAGGATATCACTAGAACGTATGTTTGAAATTATTACAATAATTTAAAAGAGAAGAAATTCGAACCCGGGACGCATGAGTATAAACCAACACCCTTCTTCAAACAGTGCGTGAATGATACACAAAATTCAATGCTTATTATCGAGATCCTATATAGTATGCATCACTATGTAGATATTATCTCTAGAAAAAAAAAAAAATCAACACATGATCTATGAAATCTGTTGCTAGCTATTGGCACATTTTGGCGATTATTGAATTTGTAGAGATATTAAAGCCGTATGTATCGCTTCTGAGAAAACAAGAAAGTCATGTGTATGATGTATCGAAAATAATTTTGTGGTTTGTTGCAAGTTTTGGTGATTGTTTATTGCGTCCTGGCCACCTTGTCAGTGGTGTCGGTGATTGTTTGTTACAAGTTGGAGCATGAAGCTGCTATATAATTTCTCAAACAAATTGAATAATATGATGTCCATCAATGTTTCATCAATTCATCGTGGCATCCTAGACTAATAATGCACGGATTAGGATTTTATATGGATCAATTTTTGTGGGGATCCAGATGATCAATCAATTTTACCCGTCAATCATACATCGTGTAGTTAGAAATTATTTTGAATTTTTTATTAAAATTGAACACAAATAATACCTAAAGAAAACTAGAATACAATGTATGATAAACGGACACGATTGATTGATCATCTAAATTCCCACAAAGAGAATCCGAAGCGGATCCTCATCTACCGCGCCAGCAAGTACGTCATCCAAATGCTACGAGATCAGATTACATTAGATGCTCTGCTGAAGATGAAATCGAGCAACAAAGTCGGCACATAAAACGCGTAAGGCCCGGAAGCGGAGCCTATTGGCTTACTCTGTGTTTGCCACTACCATTCATTGTGACTTGTGAGTCGTCAGCTAGCTTTACTAAAAGGTATGAACTGATGATGTTGTTCCCTTAATTTGTCTTTCTTCATCATGTGTGAACGCGTTGAAGCTTTCTACGCGGAAGGTAAAGGTGCTTCAGTTTCTTCTTTTTCCTCTCTTCGATGATTTTCTAGGAAAGCCTGAGCACCATAAAATTTTCAATAACTTAATAAATCTCATTCATCTCAAATATTCCGTTATCTTTCTTTGCCTCTTTCTCTTCTTTTTTACTCACAAGTTACAAGTCCATTGTTAGTTCCTTGAGAGAGACACAAACAGATGGATGGTATTGAAGCTAATATCCCCCCTGGTCAGGAAAAGTATGATGTGTTTGTCAGTTTCAGAGGTGAGGACACCCGCCGTGGTATTACCAGCCATCTTCATGCTGCCTTACTTCAGAAGAAAATTGAAACCTACATAGATTACAGACTTCAGAAAGGAGAAGAAATCGGACCTGCCCTTCTAGAGGCAATCGAGAAATCCACGCATTCGGTGATCATTTTCTCACAAAACTATGCTTCTTCCACATGGTGTTTGGATGAGCTTGTGCATACACTCGAATGCAAGGAAAGATATGGCCAGAAGGTTATACCCGTATTCTATGACATCAATCCATCTGATGTACGAAAACAACACGGGAGTTATGCGGATGCATTTGCTCAACTTGAAAAACGTTTCAAGGACAGTATTGATAAGGTGCACAAGTGGAGGGATGCTTTGAAGGCTGCAGCCGATCTGTCTGGGTTTGATTATTCAAACAATCACGGGTAAGTAACTCATTATTTAACTTGTATAAAATTATAAATCTTCTTTAAACTTGTGAGAATTTGATTAGATTTGGTAAAGCATTACTCTATTTTAAACTTGGGGAGGGGTGGGGCACTTTAGCTTTGCTGCAATGCAATTGAGGGGAGATTTTGGTTTTAACAAGACTTCATGCCCGTCCGTTGCTACGGGTCAGAAAAATTTGTCATGTAATTAAATCAAATCATAAAGAAGAGTGGAATTTGTAATTTAGAGAACAACATCACATCAAAGTAACATGTAATGTAAAGAATGGAACAAAATAAAACATTTTATTAGACGGTGCAATCACAAAATATAATGTCTTTGCATAAGAAACAGATGTAAAATGCAGTTCAATTAGCTTTTCAAACTTATTACAACAACTCTATTTACACATATTTACAGCAACTCTATCTGCACATATATGTACAATCATATTTACTATTATTTACAAAATAGAACATTTTAAAAAATAGAAGTTGTTAATGTAAATCTAAGACATTTTAGTGAAGATGACGGAATAAAAGTGTAATTATTGAAGAGAGACTCTTAATTGCTAAAAACAATTGAATACTCAAGTGCATTTAATATTTAATAGAGAAATGTTATTAACATTTTAAAAATCTTATTATTTAAGTGTACCGGAAGGAGAAAAATAAAATTTCTTTTGCTCATGAATAATTAAAACTGACATATGTTAAAGCGTACATATGAAAAGAAAGTGGACTTTTCAAATTGTTCATATCACATTTTCTATTAAGCTAACCACAATAGACTTTTCTATCACAAATATCTGCATCCAAGTATGAATAAAGGTTAACTAATGTGATTATTTTCATCCTATTGTAAAATGGTAATATAACTTTCATTTTGCTGAATTGTAAACTGGGAGAAAAATATGCATAAATGTTGAAAAAGATTTATAAGATCTTAAAAATGTAGAAAATGAGTAGCAATTACCCTTCCAACTCAACTGGTAAACAAGAAGGAGGAAAAAGTAAACCAATGACTGGGTTTTCATTTTTTGTGTCACTGCTCTTATCATATTTGAAGCAAGCAACCAAATAGCATATAATAATTCCAATTTCGATCCACCCATCACAATCCCTGACCTGAAACTAATTACAACTCTGCAGTATGTACTTCCTAAAGAATATGAACGTATAATTGTCACGCCTCGATCCCGACATACGTCTAGGATCAACACGTGACATAGAGACGTAGCGAACATCTTAACATACGTACAAGATACCAAATGAAATACTAGAACTAATACCACAAAATAAACACAATAGTGAACTCTCCCCCACAAAATATATACAAATCTGTACATTCAAAATACACAACCCTCATTAGGGCCAAGACATGACCATAGGCGGTCAAAATATAAGTTCCAAAAGAAATAATACAAAGAAAGATAAAGGGGCAACCTAATCACTCTAAATCTTTGATCTTTGCACTGCTACCCCCATCGGCTCCTTGTAAATCTCCTCAGGCTTGTCACATGTATAATCAGTGCCTAGACTTTGCGTTAACGCACCATAGCGAGTCAGAAAAGCTATCTTTTGTATGTCATCATCTTGGATCCTCAATTGATGATAACCAATCCGCAAATCGAGCTTACTAAAATATTGAGCACCTTGAAGTTGGTCAAACAAGTCATCAATCCTCGATTGTGGGTACTTATTTCGCACTCACTCTATATCCATATTAAGCTCACGATAATTGATGCGCAAACACATGATTTGTCTTTTTTCTTCACAAAGAGAATGGCAGCACCCTAAGGTGAAACATTAGGTCGAATTAAACCTTTATCCATTAACTTCTGTAACTGCGCTTTGAGCTCTCTGAGTTTCAAAGGCGCTATACGATATGGAGCCTTAGAAATAGGTGTTGTCTCTGGCATAAAGTCAATAGTGAACTCAATCTCCCTTACTGGAGGCAAGCCATGTAACTCTGCAAGAAATACGTTAGGGAATTCTCTAACTACTGGAATGGCATTAATTTCACTATTTCCTTGCTCAACGGGTATGACATGAGCCAAATAACCCTGACATCCGTATCTCATGAGTCGTCTAGCCTTGGCAACTGATACCATTACTGGTGGTGGAACAGGTTTATGAACTTTAGCAAACTAAAACGGAGGCCTGTCAAGTGGTCGAACAGTTATCACTTTCTAAAAACAATTGAAATTCGCGCGATATATCGATAGGTAATCCATGCCTATAATGACATCTAGATCTCGCATCAGAATAATCATCAAATCTGCTGACATCTCACCCTGATCCACCTAAGCCTCACAAGATCAAACTACTTGGTCAACAATATGAGGCCTCGAAAAATGAGAGGAAATGGAGTATGTCACATCCATCGTCTCAATAGGTTTACCCAAAGACTTAACAAAAGTACTTGATGTAAAAGAATTCTCAGCTCCAAGATCAAACAATGGCCTAGCAGGGAGCGAATCAAGATGAATAGTACTTGTGACTATGTTAAGCTCAGCCTCGGCCTCCAAAGTGGATAATGCACAAACCTTGCCAACTCGCTGAGAACCCATTTGAGATGTCCCAACTCCATTGCTCTAGACCCTAACTCGCTGAAAACTTCTTCCAAGCTGTCTTGTCGCTTTATTGTCTGGTCATTTGCTGTGCAATCCTCTATTGAACTAAGTCATAAGGTGTAACATCCCACATCGCCCAGGGGAGTGATCCTTAAATGTATATTCCTATCCCTACCTAGCACGAGGCCTTTTGGGAGCTCACTGGCTTCGGGTTCCATGGGAACTCCGAAGTTAAGCGAGTAGCGCACGAGAGCATTCCCAAGATGGGTGACCCATCGGGAAGTTCTCGTGTGAGTTCCCAAAAACAAAATCGTGAGGGCGTGGTCGGGGCCCAAAGCGGACAATATCGTGCTACGGTGGTGGAGTAGGCCCGGGAAGTGGTCAGCCCCGGGCCGGGATGTGACAATTTGGTATCAGAGCTTAACCCTGACCGCGTGTGTGCCGACGAGGAAGTTGGGCCCCTAAGGGGGGTGGATTGTGACATCCCACATCGCCCAGGGGAGTGATCCTTAAATGTATATTCTCATCCCTACCTAACACGAGGCCTTTTGGGAGCTCACTGGCTTCGGGTTCCATGGGAACTCCGATGTTAAGCGAGTAGCGCACGAGAGCATTCCCAGGATGGGTGACCTATCGAGAAGTTCTCGTGTGAGTTCCCAAAAACAAAACCGTGAGGGCGTGGTCGGGGCCTAAAGCGGACAATATCGTGCTACAGTGGTGGAGCGGGCCCGGGAAGTGGTCCGTCCCGGGCCGGGATGTGACAGAAGGTGCTCTAGAAGGCCTACTATACGCCGAATATGCTACTGAGCCCCCAGCACTAGTAGCAGGTCTACCAGCTCTGTTAGCAGTAGTCTGTGGGCAATCTTAAAATAGTGACTAGTCTTGCCGCACTGGTACAAGTCTTAGAACCATCTCTACATGCGTCATAGTGTCGGCGTCCTCAGTGAGTACAAATCCATGGAAGTGTCTTCTGTGGCTGGTATCGAGATCCTCTAAAATAAATTTTTGAATGCCTTTCAGAAAAAGTTTGGGGTCCGCTCATGTATGCGCTATGAGTACCTCCTCGAAAACGACTCTAAAGACTCACTTCAACAGAATGTTGAGAGCCTTCTCTAACTTAGCTTGGAAATCTCCATGAAAAGTACCCTGATTTTCTCTATGTGACAATCCATGAGAACCACCAAACGAGAATCTCTGGCATTTTTTGGATATACCCAAAAACGCATCAGATAATTGCCCCTCTGACCAGGCCCTCTTCCTTTGTTTTCCACTCGCTCGTATTCCTCATTAAGCTCTGTTGTGCATGCACGATCAATCGCCTGAGCGAATAAAGGCAATCCTTAAACAGATAACAGATTCCTTATACTAGGCTTGAATGCCATAATAAGTTTCTTCGTTTTCTTTTCCTCATATAGGTGTTGAGAGAAACAGTAAAGTTAAGTAAAACGGGCCACATGATCAGCAACTGTGGTGGTGCCATGCTCAATAGTGGCGAAATCTGCCTCCAGCTCATCCCAAAATGACTCTGAAAAATATTGCCCCAAGATGCAGTCTGAAATCACTCCCAAGTTAAGGGTCCTCCGACTACCAATAAAGAACGAGTGATATGTTGCCGCTCGTAAGCCTACCTGTTAACATATACGCTGCAAGGTCTACCTACTCCTCAGGTAAGCATCGCAAAACGGTGAAAACTCTGGCGATCCAATTGGTCCAGGACTCAGTCGTTCATATATCAGTACTACCATCGAATGAAAGTAGTTTATAAGTACGAAACTCTCTATATAGAGACTTCTCCCTACTAGAAGTCGCACGTACGTGAGCCTGCATCAACTGTGTCAAATCATCAATGGCCTAAAAAGCACCATCGGGTCTATCATAATCGTGGCTAGCCTTTTTAATCAATAGCAGAAGTGTCGGGGACATCATCCCCAAGCGGCCGAACAACACCATGTGGGGTCGTCATAATATATCTAGTGCATAGAAGAATTCAACATAAGCATATACACGAAATTAGAGAAACGAATCCACACGACCTAATTAAGGTCTAGTACCCAACCTACCCAAGGCTTCCTCATTCTAAGGTTAAGGTATGGGAACCTAAACCTAAGCTTTGATACCACCAAAAGTTGTCACACCCTGATCCTGACGTACGTCCAGGATTGACACATGACACAGGTACGTAGGGGACGTCTTAACTACTTATAAGATACAAAATGAAATACTAGAACTAATACCTCAAAATAAACATGATAGTGGGCTCTCCCCCTCAAAATATATACAAATTTGTACTCTCAAAATACACAACCCTCACTAGGGCCAAGACATGCCCATAGACACTCAAAATATAAATCACAAAAGAAATAATACAAGGAGGGATAAAGGAGTAACCTAATCGCTACAAGTCTCTGATCTTTGCACTTCTACCCCACGGGTTCCTCATAATCTACTCAAGCCTGTCACATGTACAATCAGTGCTAAAGTCCACGTTAGCGCACCCTAGCATGAATATCAAGACGTCACGTACTATCGTCGCCTAGGTCGAGCTCCAATTTGGCCGAGAAGTGGCCTGAAATCACCCAAGACTATCGGAATCCTAAGATGAGTGTTCTTCGAACCCCGAAACTCCAACCAATGCTTGGGCCTTGTTTCTAGGTTCAAGGACAGTCTATTGGTGGCGCTGGTTGAAGGAACAAGCTTCAGAAACAGCCAATCGTCATCGAATATTCACGGACCCGTTAGTGGAGTTTTTCGTGAAACCAAGGCAAAAATCTCATTGAGCTTGTGGTGGAAGGTCGAGAAAAGCCAAACAAAATTGACAGAAACCACGCCGAAAATTGCAGAGGGTTCGAGTCAGAAGTCAGGTCACGAAGGGGGAATGGGTCATGCTAGGTTCCCTCCTCTCTTCTCTGATTGGTCACCTCACTATCACTCGCTCTCTCTCCAATTAGCCCTTCCCCTAAATTAATGGGAGCTTCTAGTTATATATTAAACATTTTTTTTTTATTTTCTTAATCGAACTTCAAATGTCCGTAACATCTTCGTTATCACTCCAATTTGCGAACGACTTTCGCCCACACGCTCATGGAATTGAGTGATTCTAAAACACTAATTGTGACCTCGAAAGGTCTACAAATTTTGAAAGATTAATTACAAAAAGTCATACCTTGTAACTATACAATTCAAATTCCAAAATTGACGGAATTAGAATAAAATAAAAATAATGTAAATACGAAATATGGAATTAAATAATAAAATGCATAATTAATAATGAAATTCTAGGAACGGAATTTCACATATACAATCAAGCAGCATGTTTGGTGAAATTTAGGGTCGTTTAATTGAACACCCAAAACATTCAATCTTATACAAATGAATAGTGTTGCAACCTATAACCCATTCAGACATTCAATAAAGCAGCTCCCTCTCTTTCTCTCTATGTAACCCTTCCACTTACCGAATCGCAAATCTTGTACGAACAGGTCATGTTTGCCCATGTTCACGGCTCCATCTCACCGACTACAACCCGCACCTCCACCTATTCTAAAATGATAATTGCCTACCCACCTTTTACCTCAGACCGTTGGATCTAAAATCTGGATGGGCATTACGGTCATTTGACATCGAATCAGGCCTTCCTCCTTAGCCACCCATAACAAAGCCCACTTTAGGCCCAAACACACCAATCATACCCCCCCCCCCGGCGTGTAGGAAATTTTTTTTTTTTTCCAAGGATAGAAATTCTGTAAATAAATCAAAATCCCCAATTGAAATTGCCCTATAGCTTAGCTACAATACCACCCCTCCCAACTTTAGGCTAGGGTAATTACGAAATTCCCATTTTTTAGTGGGTTTGGGGAGGGGTGGCCCTGTTCCTTGGCCAAGCATGTAATTAGTTGTAGTTCATTTAAATGTATCCGATTTATCTTTAGGGTTAACGATTTCATTAGTGGGATAAGTTCATTTTCTTCAAAAAGATAGTGGGTTGAATGCTATAATATGCAAGCTTACTTAGTTGTATTGTTGTTTACCTAAAAACAAATGTATTTCTATTTTAATATTGCTTTAATTTTATTTTGAAGAGAGAACACGCAAGATTTCTTTTCTTGCACAAATATACGGTGTTAAAACTTTTAGTATATTTACTAGCCTTTAAGGCTAACTATTGTTTTTTTTCTACATAATCATACATGTATATATGCCAGGACGGAGGCAGATCTAATTAAGAATGTTGTCGATCAAATTTGGACAAACTTGAATTGTGAATCATCATGTGATTTAGATGGCCTGGTTGGAATTGAAAGCCGCATTCAGCAAATTGAATTGCGACTGGGCATTGACTCAAAGGACGCTTGCATCACTATAGGTATTTGGGGCATGGGTGGTATTGGCAAGACCACCCTTGCTGAAACTGTATTTCACAAACTCTCTTCTAAATTCGAAGCTTCTTGTTTCCTTAAAAACGTCAGGGAGAAATCAGAACAACCAGATGGACTAGATTGCTTGCAAAAGAAACTTCTAAGTGATATTTTCAAGGGAGAAAGTCTATCCATAGAATCAACTATTGTTCGAAGGAGGCTTAGCCGCACAAAGGTCCTCATTGTTATTGATGATGTGAGTAGTCCAATGCAAATGCAACGTTTAGCTGGTGATCTTCAACGGTATGGCACTGGAAGTAGAATCATTATCACAAGTAGAGATAAGGACACACTTAGACAAATTGTTGAAGAGGAGAATATCTACGAAGTTGAGGTATTAAAATCGGATGACGCTCTTCAGCTCTTCTGTGTGCATGCTTTCAAGAATAACACTACTCGTAGAACAGATTATGAGGAGTTATCAAAAAAGATCGTGGATTATGCCAGAGGCGTTCCCTTAGACCTTATAGTTCTGGGGTCCTTGTTCTTCAATTGCCAGAGTAAAGAAGAATGGGAAGATGAATTCAACAAATTAAAACGATTTCCTAGACAAGATATCCAGAAAGTGTTGAGAATAAGTTACAATAGATTGGAAGAAAATGAGAAGCAGATATTTCTGGATATAGCATGTTTTCATAAAGGGAAGGAAGTGAATGAGGTAGAACGAATGTTACATGTTCGTGGATTCTTTGCAATATCGGGAATTAGAAATCTCCGTGATAGATCTCTCATATCAATTTATTCAGACAAATGGGTAAGGAAAGTCATAGAGATGCATGATTCGCTACAAGAAATGGGAAGGACAATTGTTCAAGAACAATGTATTGAAGATCCTGGTAAACGGAGTAGGTTGTTCACGAATGAGGAAATCTATCGTGTACTGAATAGTAACATGGTAATAGCCAAATTCATTCAATGCTTTCTTTTCTTTTCTTTTTTTTAAAGAAAAAATAAATAGCAAACGTGAGAAGATAACACAACAAAATAAAACTCATTTATAAAAAGAAGTCAGATTCTTAAAATATTAATTTTATTGAATTTTATTGCAAAAATGCTATTCTTAATATTTATTTATACCATTATTTGGATCATCTCTCTAATAGAGATGAGACCTCCATGCAATGACGGATCCTACCTCTATTAGAAAGATAGTACAAGTGATGGTACAACTAAGTGATAAGAATAACTCTACTATTTTTTTATTGTGATAGGAAGTCTATGTAGTCTTTGTTATTTTATTAATATTATCTTGGATATTTTACTAGAAACTTGTACATCATTACCATCGCAAATACTCTAGATTATTCTTTAACTTTGTTGAATTCTTTTTCCAAATAAGCATTACATTTTAACATGTTGAAAATATATACATTTAAACTTTGTTCTTATTGTCAGGAAAGTCCAATTGTTGAAGCCATATTCCTTAAATGGCATAAGAGTGAAGAGCGACGACCATGGAACTTCAAATTGATGTCAAACCTAAGAATGCTATTTGTGCATAATTCTCAAATAATTGACTTCAAACCCGCCACTTCTGTAGACCTTCCCGATTCTCTTCGCTACCTTGACTGGTTAGGATATCCACTGGAATCTTTGCCGTCAAAATTTTCGCCGGAAAATCTAGTTGAGCTTCATATGCCATGGAGCCGAGTTAAGAAGCTCTGGAAAGAAGACCAGGTATATTATATGCCTATTCTAACTCTTGTATAAAATTTAGTGTAGAAATCATATTAATTCTTGATATTTCTCTCTACTCTTGTTACAGAGACTTGTCAACTTACAAGTGCTCGATCTGCATGGCTCTATAGATCTAACTGAAGTTCCAAATCTCTCTGGGAGTCTAAAAATTGTGGACATAAATCTCTCTGGCTGTGGAAGTTTGGTTGAAATTTCAGAGATGCCAGGAAATATTAAATACTTGGATTTATCTTACACTGGTATAAAGGAGTTGCCCCAGTCAGTTTGGTCTCACGAAAAAATTTCTTACTTGAATATAAGTCATTGCGGAGACCTTGAGAAACTTCCAAGCAACATGTGTAAGCTGAAAGTCTCTGGTTCTTTTAATCTAGATGGCTGCACATCTCTTGCCGAGTTTTCTGAGCTTCCGAGGGATATAACTAAATTATCATTGATTGATTGCAAGAGACTTGTGAGTCTACCAACCAACATTTGTAAGTTGAAATATCTCAAGGAACTCAATCTCTCCGGCTGCTCTAAACTTGAAAACTTTCCAAAGATCTTGGAGCCAATGGAACATTTGGAGTCTTTAAATTTAAGTGGAACAACGGTTCAAGAGCTACACTCATCAATCGAGTTTCTCCATGCTCTCAAAATACTTGATCTACATGGTTGCAAAAGGCTTTCAAGTATTCCAAAGAGCATTTGTAAGTTGAAATATCTCGAGAAACTCAATCTCTCTCGGTGCCCCAAACTTGAAAACTTCCCAGAGATCTTGGAGCCAATGGAACATTTGAAGTTTTTAATTTTATGGGGAACAGCGGTCACTCCTCCAGCGCGAAATGCGTTTCTCCCCGTGCTCCAATATATTTCATGTTCTTCCAGCGCCGCTGCCATTCTCCGCCAACATCTATCTGCTGCTAGCGTAGAACTTTAAGCTTTAATCGCTAGCGGAGTGCAGAAAAATCAATTCAAAAAGAAAATCCTAGAAATCACTTATGTTGTTATGGAATAAGAAAAGAGAGAAAGATGATTCTAGTGCCTTACGAAATTTTCGATTGCGCTTCAGGATCTCCGATTGTGGTCCATAATTTCCGATGATTCTCCCAAAATCTCTGATTGGATGGATTAGGGCTCTCATTTTTCAGTCGAATATGAAAGATAAAGCGCCTAATTGAAAACTTAAAACAACATTTAGGCGCTATATTATTATCAGCGACACCATTTGCGACGCATTTAAAAATCCTTGGATCCCTTACATCAGGACCCCTGGATAATTCTGGATACACCAATGGATGGTGCCATGGTGGTGTTCAAAGAAAATGAAAATTGAGTATAGTACAAAAAACTACCTTGGTGTCGCGATTTTTTCATATCTCATTTTTTAAAATTGATAATGTCATATCTCATCTTACGAATTTGTGCCAATCTCAATTTTTTTTGTTACTTTTTCTGTTAAATGCTGACGTGGCTAGAAACGGGACCCATTTTTATTAAAAAATAATTAAATATTAAAAAATTAAAAAAATAAACAATAATCAATAAACCATAAAAAAACCAATCAACCCGTGTGCCCCCTCCCCAAAAACCCAGATCCCCTTCTCTGAGTTCTCCCCCACCCAACCCTCTATCTCATCTTTCGCCTCTTTCTCTTCTCTCTCTCTGCAACCTGCATCCCTAAAATCCCAAAACCCAGAAACCATTCCCACCTAAGTCATCACCGTCGGCGAGCTCTCAATCCTTTAAGTCGACGATCGCCGATTAACCCCAAACCTTTCCCCGCCACTCTCGCTGGCGTCAGAGCTCTCCTTCTGGCACCATAGGTGCTTCTGGTTCCCCCACTTCAAATACCAAGTCAAGTTGAAATTGTGGAGAGGCTTCGCCCTCTCAGAACCCATCGCGATGGACTTCACCTCCACTCTTTTTTCCTCATCTGACCCGCCTATATACACCATTTATCGGAAACTCATACCAAAGAGAGCCACTCTCAGATCACAACTCTCTCTCTCTCTCTATTTCTTGCACCTCCTCTGATTTTCTCGGAAAATCTCGGAATTTTCTAGGAAAAACGGAGAGTTTTTCTATTGGGATTGTTGTTGTTGTTGTTATTGTTTTGTTGTTCTCTCGCAGATCGCCGGAGGGAAAACTCCGGGGGCGAGGAGGAGAAGAGAATGTTGTTGTGGAGGTTGTGGCTAGAGTTAGGGTTTGGGGGCGATTGGGGATCGTGGCTGTCATTGCTAGAGTCAACGACAGAGGTAGGGTTGTCATCGGTGGGATCGGAGAGAAAGGTTGGGGGGGGACGGGTGGGAAAGATTTCTGGGTTTTGGGATTTTAGGGATGCAGGTTGTAGGGAGAGAGAAGAGAGAGAGGCGAGAGAGAGAGAGAGAGGAGAGAGAGGGGGGTTAGGTGGGAGAGAACTCAGATAAGGGGATCTGGGTTTTTGGGGATGGGGGACACGGGTTGATGGGTTTTTTTTGTTTTTTTTTTTAAATTTTTAATATTTGATTAATTTTTAAAAATATTTAATTAATGTTTTATTAAAAAATAGGTCATGTATCTAGCCACGTCAGCATGTAACAGAAAAACTAACAGATGTCTGACATTGGCACAAATTCGTAAGAAGAGGTATGACATTGTCAATTTTAAAAGATGAGGTATGAAAATGTCGTGACACCAATAGTTGAGGTAGTTTTTTGTACTTTACCCATGAAAATTTGATGCCCAACAACCAACTATTTATTTTCCTTTTAAAAGAAAAACCAACTATTTCTCAAAGAAAAAAAATATATGTCTCGCTTTGTAAACAGTCATTTTTATTTACCTACTCACAGTTAAACATATCTTTGTCTTTTAGTATTTCAGTTTAATGATATTTTTCTTATTAATAGTTAAATGATCTTAACTTTCGCTCTCATAAATAACAAGTTTGAAACAAATTATCTCAAAAAAAAAAAAAAAAAAAAAGGAAGAAATGTGTCTAAATCTAGAATAAAGAGTGACTTCTGCTATAAGCCAAGCTTTTTCTTCTTCTTTTGTCGAAAAATAAGAAATTTTATTGAATGAAAAATGTGTAATACAATTACATTAAACAAGCCCAATAAGGTGGCGATAACTAAAGCCCATTCAACAAAAAGGTAGAAAAAAAAATTCCTAATCTTCAACTCGCAAAAGCCGACCATTGGCATCGCCACCACCTTGTTCACAACCACAAAGGTAGCCACCCAAATAAAATCAACTATGCATTAAATTCGATGAAGGTATAACAGCGCAAAACAATTGAACATGCAACAAAACCGTCACACCAAAGAAAAGCCAACAGATGTCGACCGCCAACACAAGCCCATGCAAGGAGAACAAAAAAACCAAAACAAATGGGAAGCAGATGGGGCTAAGGAGGCACCTAAACACCATCGCTTTGGGAAAAGTTGCAACAAGCTCAGCCCTTGATTTCATAGATGGATATTAAATCCCTAGCATATTATCTTTCACTCTAATTTCATGAGTGCGTCTGGAATCCTACTAATACTCTATGTATGGATGCCACTGAGTGCATCTGAATCTTTACATTTTGTTAAGTCTGAGTGTGTCTAGATCCCTACATTCTGTACAATTCCATCGGGTTCATCTGGAACCTTACATTTTGTTAGGTTCCAAGTGTGTTTAGATGCATTATGCGATTCTATTGGATGTGTCTAGAACGTTCATCTTATGGATTCTATAGAGTGAGTCTGGAATCCTACTTCTTATCTTGTATGTCAATTCTATCTGATTCCATGAGTGCGTCTGGAAGGCGAAACATTATGATTTATGTTAGTTCTTGTGTATTTGATCTATTCGATTTCATGAGATCTCGAATGTAGAATGTTTGTGAGTGTGTTGCTCCTATTATTTTAATGTATGTATGAAAGGAAAGCTGGTTGATTGTCTGTAAGGATTCTTCAATTAATTTTGTGAGTTAAGATATTTTATATATGCAAGGGATTGTCCATATTTTATAAATGAGATCAATTGACTTTTCAATCACATGCGTTTACTGTCATTCACACCATCTTTATAGCTTATTTGGGTTTTTGCTTTTTGCGATGTACTGATGCGAGAATTATACGCACACAAATTAAACCCTCTTTTTGACAATTGTAGTGAAGTGTAAGTAGGGATCGTTCTGGACCGGGGATTAGGAGGGATTGTTAACCACTTGGATTTGACTTCAAAAACGTAAAAACAAGTTTAAAACACTATACTAAACTCGAAGAATGCAAAACTAAAAGTAAGAAAGATTAAGACTAAAACTTAAACAAAATATGGGGGGGGGGGATTTAGGTTTGGACGAGATTAAACTAAAGTGGATAGATTGCAAAAAAAACAAATTGTAAATACGAAATTGACGGAAATGAATGGATGGGAAAGCTAGCTAAGGGGTTCATCTCCACACATGTTATACTTGCATACAAACCGATTTCTAATTGCTTTTCAATAAACCATGAATTCTCAACGCCCCGGGTTAATTAGGTCCGCTTAAATTAACCGTCAAGTTTTCCTTAAGTTAATGAATTGGATGATTGCATACGACAATCCAAAGCATTCCTCACAAGTTCCCTACATGAATTGCATAATAGAGATACAAGCAAGAATCATTAAGCATCATGAAAACTATAAGTGTTGACGAGGCATTCGTTACTATGATTGCATGAAACTTATGCCAAGAATATGTTTAACGCGATTGTTTATAAGCAACCTCCACTACTTGTGAATATAAGTTCATAACTATTACGTGAAACTCACTTATATTCTAGCGTCAAATTCATGCATGAAAATTAAGCGTTCATTCTTAATAAACATACATAAATAGGTTATCAATCAAACAGTTAAACAAATTGAATTCATAACTTATGAAACGTAATTAAAAGTAATCAAATCAGATTACAAACATAAACATAGTTTCGAATCACCCCCTAGCTAAAGGGGGTTTAGTTCCTCATAACTTTGAAATCAAAGAAACACCTAAACATTCCAACAACTCAAAACTTGAATTGTATGAACGTTTAAGCACTCTTTTCTTCCATTTCTCATACGTACAAAACAAAGAGAATTAAAATGAAACTTTGAAATCAAAGAAACACCTAAACATTCCAACAACTCAAAACTTGAATTGTATGAACGTTTAGGCACTCTTCTCTTCCTCGTTGTTGTAGCACAAGGTTTAAGGATAGGTTGGTTGGGGGGATGGAAGTGTTGGGGAATTATGGAAATGGATGAGGATTGGTGGAAATGGAAGATGGTTTTTGGATTCTAAGGGAGAAAGGAATGTGTTTGTGGTGTGTTGTTGTGTTGTGAATGAGATGAGATGATTTGAATGAATGGGAATGCAAGGGTATTTATAGGAGGAGTGGAGGGAACATATGGATGTTTGTTTAAGCATTTGTGTGAAGGAATGATGAAGAATTGCATGTGGAATTAAAGAATGAGTGGTGGTGTAATGATGAAGTGAATGCATGTGGAATTAAAGAGGGAGAATGTGGTGAAATGATGAAGTAGGAAGGTGGAAATGCATGTGAGATGTTGGAAAAGAATTGGGAATGTGCAATGGTTGCAATGATGAAGAATAAAGGGTGCATGTGAGTGAATGTGTATATGTTTAAATGGTTGAAATGTGTAGATGATTATGAGTATGATAAGTGATAAGTGAATGATATGTTAAGTGATAAGTGAATGATATGTGGTGAGTGATAAGTAAATGATATGTTAAGTGATAAATGAATGATATGTGGTGAGTGATAAGTAAATGGTTTGATAAGTGATAAATGAATGATAGTGATAAGTGATTGATATGATAAGTGATAAATGAATGATATGATAATTGAATGATATGTTAAGTGAATGATATGATAAGTGAATGCTTTAAGTGTTTAAAAATAGGGAACAAAACCCTTCCTTGCATGGCAAGGAACGGAGACACAAGGAAACACACGACAATGTCCTAAGGTTGCAAGGAATGTTGTTTTTGTATTCTAAAATGCGTAGGAGTCTTCAATGATGCTTAAATATGAGGTC